GGGGGGAAGGGAGGGAAATGCATGGGACTATGGTGGTGGCACACGGGTGATTTGGTGATGGGAAACCCGTGGGAATTACAATCGAAATGGAAAAAAAAATGTGCAAAATGATGTAAAAATAAACTTTTGTAATAATTAAAAAAATAAAAAATAAATTGCGGTAATAATGCCACATCAAATTGATTAAGTTACAGTACTAGAGTGCATTGACTAAGCTAATGGGTACAGAGACACAGTGTGAGCCTTAACATATGAAGGATGAGAGGAGTTAAATGTTAGTGTGTGTTTGTATGAGTTTAGTGCAGATCCTGACACATAAACTGAATGTAGGCACACAGTCTAGTTTTCACCAGGACTTCTGCAAATGAACTCTCCTGCTGAACACTCTGACACTATTAGCATTTCAAAGAATGAATGTATCCGGGAAGAATTCTCTACTTTGAGCAAATTGCACAAGAATGGTTTGAAAACAAAATTCTGTATTTAAGAAAGATGTCAGCTTTCAAAGGTTGCGTGTTTTGTGCATTAATAATGTATATTGGTGATAATAATTCCCAATGCTTTTTTCCATGAAACACTCTAAAGGAAAATATTTTGCACATCAGTCAAGTTCCAAGGAGTCAGCAATTCCAAATTTGCAGCATTTTTAGAAACTAGTGTGTGTGACACATAGGCTACCAGGAACAGAAAAGGTAATGCAAGATCATGCCCTTTCCCCACTTTGTTATCTCAGTAAATATTGTGGTGATTTAATATATATCAAGTAGCAATTATTTTGAGTCTCAGACTTCATAATTTGACTGAATTTTTGCCCCTGATTAGAAATCAGCTCAATATTCATTTTTCATAGCCAGGGAGTTTGTCAGGGGCTAGAGATTGTAGGATAAGTTAGACTTACACTGTTGGTGAAGAGTTCACAGTTTGGAATAGACCAGCAAATTAATTGATGGTGTTAATATTATTGAACTATTAAGAAGAAAGTATCCCCTGGAGCCTCAGGGGAGACAACCTTATAATGACAATAATACCTAAAACAACAACAATATTTATTGAGTTGATGCTGTGTGCCTGGGCACTAAATAAACAATGCTCTGAGGTGGGAATTATTATTCCCATTTATAAATGAAGAAACTGAGACTTGGAAGCTCTAAGGATGAATAGGAATGAGATAATGACTGGGGCATTTTTACACTCTGCCCATTATCTCACTTTGATAGGACTCTTCCATTTTAAGCTATACAGTTGCCTGAACTGCTTAAAAGCAGAGGCTGCTGAGTTGAAAACTAATTGCTTAGAAATATAAGGGGCAGTCTTGCTCACTCAGTCAGATTATAATTTTGCCTCTAATTGTTTGTTATAAGACAAATGCAAAAAAAAAAAAAAAAAAAAAGAGCAACCCAGAATTTAGAATGGGACAAACTATTTGAACAAACAAAGGTGTTTGAAAGCGTATTTTTACATGGGTGTATTTTGTTGTGTTTCAGAGCCTTTTGAATGGATTGATGTGTTCAAAGCCTGAAGACCCAGTAGAGTACTTGGAAAGTTGTTTACAGAAAGTAAAAGAACTGGGAGGCTGTGACAAGGTGAAATGGGACACATTTGTTAGTCAGGAAAAGAAGACCCTACCTCCACTCAATGGGGGACAGTCACGGAGGTCCTTTCTAAGAAATGGTAATGTATTTGTAGAATAATACACAGTTTATAGTTCAAGTGGTTCTTGCTTAGCACATGCCATATAGATTACAGGAAATGATTCAATTGTTTAGGTTTCCAAATGCCTAGAAGGAATTTGGCCCTAGAATATGATTACTGTCTCTGCTACTAATTCTAATAACCTCATGATAAGACAAACAAACTTACATAGCATTGTCTAGTGCTTCACTAAAAAAAGCTTAATGAAATTTTGTATTACTGACTTCATTTTGCAAAATGAATTACATTAGCAGACTATGAATTTTCTTAAATTTATAAATAAGCCTTTTGCAAATAAGTAAATAGATGACAGATCAAATTGATAGTAACCACATAACAGTTCAACCTTTTTATTAGCTGGGAAGAAATTTAACTCATTAATATGTTTCAAAGTTCATATTCATGCATGTGCATAAATGCATGTAAATCCATATTAGTTAATTCAAGAAAGATTTTTTTAAGTAATTACAAATGGAATCCATGAGTTTAGACATTTGAGTGCTGTGAAAGTAGAGGGCATAAGCTTGGAATAGAGCTGGGATTCACTGGAGGAGATTCATGGTGTTCAGGTATGTTTTCTGAAACATGTCCTTATCAAAATTAGTGATCCAGCATCGTCCAACCAGCCTTTAGGCTTGAGATGGAATTGAGAAGTATAATGATATGTTCAAAATGGATTCAGGGGCAAATAAATTCTTCCCTAGTTGTCCAAAACAATATATTTTCGATTTTTAAGCCATTCTTAAAAATTGTACCTCGAGAACTTAGCTATACAGAAAAAGTTTGAAATAGAGACAGTCTATTTACAATAAATACAAGGGGGTAATAAATCTGTATTTGTTGTGTCTTACTTAGTCTTGACCCACTTAGATTTTGCTTGATGCAGTCTGGGGAAAAGTCATAGTATGTTAAATTTTTAAGACACACAAACAATAACAACATGTCCTCATAAAGACTTCCAGAGAAGATAGAAATTCTCTGGCCATGCAGAAGCTAATACCGAGTGATTTAGGCTTGGGTGCAGGAGAAAGAACCTTTAACCAATTACTGCTGCCTCGCACCATTTAGAAATTACTGCATCAGTGAATAAAATCATATTTTCATGGGCTTGTAGAGTTCATGCACCATCCCAAATGGACTGACTTAGTTCCCAGGTTGTCATACTGCTAGAATCTGCCTCAGTGTTGAGTGCATTACCCATGCCCTTGTTAGATCAAATGAGATGAATACGGGAATCTGTGTTCTAAGCCATAAAACACAATGCTCAGGTATTACATTTTTTAAATTAAATATTTTTGCATTGTTAAGTTAAATCTAATGGATATGACATCCTTTTACTAGAAAAGTTGCTCTTAGACTCAGTAGAAAATGTGACTTTATGTGACAAAAAGAAACCTGACTGCTTCCATTTTATACTGTACTTGACTTGTTTATACTTAGAGGACAGCCAAGCCAAATATTAACAGAGAATGGTGGGGACTGTGGTCAAACTAGAGAGCAGAACTAGACAGTCATCATCTAAAGTTAGTCAAGTACAGATTTATGAAAAATGCTGGACTAAACAGATCACATCTACGGGGCCATATTGGGCTCACAAATACCCAGTTTGGAACTCCTTTTCACAGACAAGCTATAGAAAATTTCTGTGCACTACCATGATAAGCATGCTGTATCATTTTGTCCTCTATCTGGAACATATGTCAAAAGGCCTAAAATGGTTTCTGGACTGTCCTGTAGCAACAAAACTGGAGAAATCTCCATTAATTTTTTCACAGGGATTGGATTTGTCTATAGTCCCACCAGTAGTGTATGAGGATTTCTTTTTCTCCACACACTCACCAGCATTTACTGTTTCTGGTTTTGTTTGGTTTTGATGCAGAACATTCTCACTGCAGTGAGGGGGTATCTCATTGTGGTTTTGAGTTGCCTGTCCCTGATGATAGGTGGTGTACATTTTCTCATGTTCCTGTGGGCCATCTGTATGTCTTCTCTGGGGCAAGTGTCCATTTAGTTCCTCTGCCCATTTTTCGTTTGGGTTATTTGTTTTCTTTCATTGAGTTATATGAGTTCTTCATAGATCTTGGATATTAACCCCTTGTTGGATGTATGATAGGAAAGGATTTTCTCCAATTGCGTAGAGTGACTTTTTGTGTTAATGATATTTTATTTCACTGTGTAGAAGCTTTTTAGTTTGGTATAGATCAATTTGTTTGTTTTTGCTTTTATTTTTCTTGCCTCTAGGGTCAAGTCCCCAAATATATCTTGAAACCATTGCTGTGGAGCAGTTTGCATGTTTTCATCTATGTGTTTAATGGATTCTAATCTTATATACAAGATTGTTAGTTGATGTTTGTGCATGTTGCAAGAGAGTAGTTTAGTTTCATTTTTTGCTTGTGGCTGTCCAGCTTTTTGAACACTGTTTGTTGCAGAGCATTTACTTTTTACACTTAATGCTTTTGGCTCATTTGTCATAGATTAACTATCCATAAAATTGTGGCTTTATGTGTGGACTTCCAGTTCTATTCCACTGGTATATGTGTGTGTGTTGATTCCAGTACCATATATATAATATAATTTGAAGTCTGAAAGTGTATGTCTCCATTTCCCTTATGTTTTTGTTTAAATTGCTTTGTCTATTTATGGCCTTTTATGGAAGAACCAACCATGTTGACAAAGTTCCACTCTAGACTAGGGTTCAGGACTTGCTTCCTGGAAGAAATGGTTTGCTAACACTTGGAGGAGGTCCCTGAGAAGGCTCTATTTGGATGGAGAAGATTGAGAATGCACAAAGGAACAAAGAACAGAAGTTTCTGATGTAGAGGAAAACACTGATTTAGTCAGGAAAAAAAGAAGTATTTCTGGAACAAAAACAAGAGGGCGGAAAGATATTATATGAAATGCACATTATGTGAAATGTTCCTAGAATACTTTTAGACTTGAAACCTGGAAGTTGTTTTTGAATTCTCAACTCATTTCATTCCATATATTCCAATCTTAGCATGTCCTTTGTGTTCAGCCATTCATTTCCATCCCCCCAACTATTCCTCTAAGTTGAGCCCACATTTCTCTGTGTATATTACTTTTCCCCCCTCATTTGTGTATTACTTCTAACAGCTACTACTAGCTACTACTGTTTCTGCTCTTAGTCTCTCCCTATTTAAAGCCATTCTCAACACCACCAAATTAATTTTCATAAAAAATGTACTGCAGAGGCCCTCCCTGGTGGCGCAGCGGGTTAAAGCACTGCACTGAGAAGCTAAAGCCACTTCCGCATGAGTTCGATTCCCGCCTGCCCAGGAGGTGACCACATGGCGTGGCAGACCTCTCCTGACCCGCCCGCTGCTCCCCTCAGCAGTGTACTTCGTGGATCTGCCTGTTCTGCTCCCTACTCTGTCTCTGGTGAATCCTCTCACCCGCTGCATCTCTGGCCTGTACCCCAGTTCTGTACAAATAAAAATAAAAATCTTTAAAAAAAAAAAAATGTACTGCAGATTTTATTATGTTACACCTCTGCTCCCCAAAATACCTGCCCTGGACTTAGCATGTTAGTGAAGACCTTCTGCAATGTGGCCACCTTCTAACTAGCATCTTTCTGTTTTTTTTTTTTTTTTCATCATAGATTTTTCTGCTTACCATTTCAGTAAGGCTGACTCTTAACAAAGAGATTAATTAATTCAGCAAATATTTATTGGATGCTGACTATCAAGTACAGTTCTCAATCCCAGGGTACAGAGTTCATATAGCTAAGATGCCTGCTTTTATGAAACTCCATATTTGAATGGTTACAGACTAAGGGTGCATTAATAAGAGATCCCTCAGATGGCGAAGGAGTTGTGCAGAGAATTATTCTAGTGATGTCCTTGAGATTGACTGGCTGGTCTAGGTTAAAAGCAATCTTTGTTTTTTTTTTTAAAGATTTATTTATTTATGCATACAGAACTGGGGTACAGGCCAGAGGTGCAGGGGTGGCAAGAGGATTCACCAGAGTCAGAGTGGGGAGCAGAACAGGCCAACTGATGAAGTACACTGCTGAGGGGAGCAGCGGGTGGGTGAGGAGAGGTCTGCCATGCCAGTGGATCATCTCCGGGGTGGGGTTCGAACTCATGCTAAAGTGGCTTTAGCTTCTTAATGCTGTGCTTTAACCCACTGTGCCACCAGGGAGGGCCCAGGTTAACAGCAATCTTATAGAAGATGACACTTATGCTTCACTGTAAATGACAATAAGTTAGCCATAGTGGGGGGTAGGGGGTGGTTTGCTAATCAGCAAGCAGTCTGATTAGTAAAGTCTATCACAGTCCTAGGAAAAATGATGGTAGTTTAGGAAGGAATTGTGGTAGTACAGATGGAGAAAGTATATGCAATTTGGGATATGTTTATAGTTTATGAGAACAGATACAAAAAGTGAGAGAAGAAAGTGAGCAAGGATAGTGCCAAGAATTCTACCTTTTGTTAAGTGAAGCAATTCAGTTTCAAAGCAGAACAGAATGCTGTTGTCAGTGTCTCTTTTGACAACCATTCCCAGCATTTTCTAAAGATTATCCACTGTGATTTTCTAAATACTCCATTCCTTTCATGGAACTAAAATGAGTTGTTTTTTGGGCAAGTAGTCAGTGACATCATTTACTATATCAATAGAGAATGGGAAGCTCTCTATTTGATCAGCATCTTTGAAGAACCTGTGAGCATTATGCCATGCTAAAAAATAAAAGAAAGAAAATAGTCTCCATAGCTACATCCACCATAAAGGTCTAGGTAACCTCTTGTCATCTTTGTATGACAGAAGGTAGTTCGGGCTTCTCTGTGCCTCCTGGAATACTGATGCAATGGGGTGAGGAAGAAAAGAACCATGAATTCTATGTTATCCACTAGTTAAGATCCTCTGATTGATTTGGATTTTTTGGCTTTATCCTTTGGTCCATGTGAATATGTTATTTGTGTTTCTAGCTCTGTTTATGTTTTGTTTCTACCAACTAAGATCTACTTCCTATGTTTCATCACTTGTCCTTGTCTTTCAAAGTTCAGGTCCTGTCTCTTTTGCAAGTCCTCTTCTGCTACTCTACCCCAAGTGAATCTAGGCATTCATCAGAGTCCTGTGGTGTTTTCATGAGAAATAGTTTTTAGCAGTTGTCCTGCTTGGTGTGCATATAGCTTGTCTGATACAAACATATAAGCTCTAGTTTATCAGCTTTGTGGGGACAGGACTAAATCTTGTGCTTCGACTGAATCATCTGCAACACACTGACATGTCTGGCAATAAGTAGCAAGTATTTGTTGTCAATGTAGATATAAGCTTAAATCTTATACTTTTAAATGAAGTACATTAAAGGTCATGAATATAGGGAAGGCAAAGTTAAATGATGTGGAAAGATATTTCAGATGTAAAAATTATCTTGCCTTTCTACCCGGTTTGTAACAGTACCCTAAGATTTTGTGCATTATGCTATTTTAATCATTCCTGTGAACCATACTAGAATGCCAGGATCTTAGTAAATGATCTTTATTTATTGAATGCAAGAAATAAGTGATGCAGAAGTGTTGAATTCATGAGCAGCTGCAGTGTTTATGAAGGTGGTTCACTACACAGCTCCAGAGAGCACCGGTTACAGAGATCAAGATATATACAGTAATGCTGCAAAAGTAGGCAGCATTTAAGGTTCTGTCAGTCAGAGGTTGGCAAACTACAACCAACGGCCAAGTTTGGTTCAGTGCCTGTTTTTAGAAGTGAAATTCAATTGGACCACAGCACAGTTGTTTGTTTATATATTGCCTGTGACTGCCTTTATGGTGCTACGGGCAAGTTGTATGAAACTCTCAGTCCAGAACCCAAAATATTCACTCTCCAGCCCTTGAATAATACATTTGCTGACCACTTAGGAGTCTTCCAGATGAAAAATATTAAACAATTAGTTTTTAAATGTCTTCTACTGTTCAGTTCACTACAAAAAAAATCTAGCTTCTTTTTTTCCGTTTCAAAGTTATCTTACTCTTTTGCAGTAATGCCTGAAAATTCAAACTTTCCCTATCGGCGGTATGATCGTCTCCCTCCAATCCATCAATTTTCCATAGAAAGTGACACGGATCTCTCTGAGACTGCAGAATTGATTGAGGAGTATGAGGTTTTTGATCCTACTAGACCTCGACCAAAAATCATCCTTGTCATAGGTATGACAGAAAGCAAAATTCTCATAGACTTTTGCTAACTTTGTTCACATATTTACATTTTTTAAATTGTGTAAATTTGTGTATACTACTTGTAAACTCTTAGTTGAATAATGATAAACAAGAAATAAGAGCTCAAGTAGATGGAAATATTTCTAGCATAATTTTTGGTAAAAGAGAAATTGTTTTATATGTGTAATGCCTGCTGCACTTTTTGTAGAATCCCACTGTATGACATCACAAAGTCATGGAATTTGCCATAATTAAATGTAAGTAAGTCATCACATCTTTAAGAGTTATGGTCCTGTGTATTACCTGTTTAATTTTTAATGTAGATGACTGAGTCCATTAGAATTTTCCTAAACACAATGTGCTTTTTATATCAATTAATTGAATTTTTGTTTGCCATTAACTTTACAGGGAGACATAAATAATATGTTAGTAAAGATCATATATAATCTTCCTTATGGCAATCTGGCACCTACAATAAAACTTAAGTTTCAGTGTTATTATATAATTTAATCTAATAACCTAGTAATCTGTGTATTCATCAAAATAATAAATTATTTTTATTTTATTATATTTTATTTTAAAAGATTTATTTATTTATGCATACAGACTGGGGTACAGGTCAGAGGTGCAGGGAAGTGAGAACATTCACCAGAGTCAGAGTGGGGAGCAGGACCGGCAGATCTACTGAAATACACTGCTGAGGGGAATAGCAGGTGGGCCAGAAGAGGTCTGCCACGCCATGTGTGTCACCTCCTTGGCCAGGTATTGCAATAGCAATAGCTTCACAGTGCTGTACTTTACCCTATTGTGCCAGATTTACAGCTGTGAATCTTAAATGAATATGAAAATATCAGCCTAATATCATAAGAAAAAACATTGAGTGTTTTTTTTTTAAGATTTATTTATTTTATGCTTACAAGAGCTGGGGTGCAGAACAGAGGTGCAGGGGGGTGAGAGGATTTACCAAGGTCAGAGCAGGGAGCAGAATAGTCAGATCTCTGAAATACACTGCTGAGGGAAGCAGCAGGAGAGACAGGAAAGGTCTACTGTGCCATGTGGGTCACCTCCATGGCCAGGGATCTAACTTGTGCTGCAGTGGCTGCAGATAGCTTCATGGTGTTGAGACTTAACTTTTATACCACCAGGGAGGCCTGAAATGTTTTAAGTATTTTTGCAAAATGCATTTTTGATGATCACTCTTGGAAATTCTTATTTTCTCAAAATTTTGAAAATCATGAAGATAACTGTGAATCTGTGTATTCATTGTTTCTAGTTTGATTCAGATTCACAGATTGATCCAAAACTAGACTAAAATGTTCAAAATTATCCTGGCCAACAACAAGTTAATGGTAGAGAGCGAAATATATATGCAGTCCCCATGCAAAGAAGCCCTGATTCTAGAAGCATTAGCAACTAGGGAAAAAAGCATGCAAATAATCACACCAAGCTTTAACAAAAATTTAAGTTTACTAGACTGGAGGGGTAACATTTGTACATCTCTGAGTGTGAATAAATTTAGCTCAAAATTGTTTGAAATAACATTGTAGGAAGAGAACATATGAATTGGCTTTCTAAAAGTCAAAAATTCTTATGGCATATGGTAGCCACTTTTATGTCATAAATCTCCTACCCTTAAAATGGAATATTTTTTCATGCCTAAATATTTTAAATCCTTGCCTAGAAGACAAGAAAATGCATTATTAAAATACAAACCTAAAAGGGAAGGTTAGAAATTACATCATCATTTTATGGTGAGATTTTTTTCCCCCTGTTTTCTTTTTCTTATTGCTATTAGTAAAATATTTGCAGTTGTTTCAAAAAAAAAAAAAAAAGATGGCTTGAGTATTCTAAAAAAAAGTGTAATAAAAAATTGGTCTTGTTATTAATTTTTGTTCATTGTGAATTTTATAGGAAAACAAACTATTAAAAAAAATAAGATCCCTTGGAAAAGATAGAAATTTCAAGTCTCCTTTAGTTCATGGTTCTTTTGTACTCAGTGAAATCCTGGCTAGAGACTTACGTGTTGTACTGTAACATTTTATGTATTATAAGAATGCTGCAGAGTCAGTGAGTATTGGTAACTTTTAGGGGATTGAAATAGAGAAGAAAGGAAAAGGCTAACCTTAGGTTATTTGAGAAAATTTGGTGACTTTTGTGAATTTATAAAATAATTCACTATTCACTGGAATCTTACAACTTTTATAAATTCCAGCTTCAAAGAGGTACATATAGTATTGTATCCAAACAAGTAAACTTCCCCTTCTGGCAATACAGAATTTTAAAATTTTTGTCTTGCTGACATAAATATAAATCTCCTTAAGTTAGTAGGCATCATAAAATCAAAAAAATCATAATCCCCGCATGTTAGATGGGTGCTAATATTTATAAGAATTAGAGATAAATAAGTGAAATGATTATTGAACTCATTCTGGCATCAGAGAGAAGAAACTAAAATTAATTTGTTAAAAGTTAAGTGACAAAACTCATCCAATAAAGTAATGCTATCTTCAGTCAATTGATTGAAATTTTTGTCTTCCTAACTTGCTAAAAGTTTTTTTCCTTTGAAGATCCAAAACTGCTTCTATGCTCAATTATTTTTAAAATTCAGTAGAATTTATACTTTCTCATTGTGATGGTTTGTGAAAGCAAATGTGGAAATATAGTTTATGAAAGATAATTTTCATTCTTCAAAAATGAAATCAGTTCTCACTTGATCTTAGCCAAAAGGCTGACAAGCTATTCAAAGCTAACCAGTATGAATTTGTTGATGGAATTCATCATATATTTTTTTCCTTCAGGTCAGTCCATGATTTGTTCACATTTGATTAGGACAAAGCAGCTATTATAGTCCAAACTTGCTTTTGATTAGCAAAGTAGATAATATTAATAATTAATTTGACAAATTCACATCTTAATATGATATAACTATGATAAGCAACAAATATGTGAAAAGCAGTTATTAGGTACATTGTTTGAGATTAAGGCTAAGAAACGTTTATCAATTAATCTTAAAATTATACTTATAAAAACGTTTAAAGAGCAAATAAGCGCTGACCAATAAAGTACATCCACTCAGAACTCTGTACAAAAAAAAGAACAAAACATAACAAAAAACTGCTTTTTACTTACATTATTTGCAAAAATAATAAAAGTATCTACAGGTCATTATGTAAAAAATTATTTAAACTCCCCCAAACTTGATATATTGAATTAGTAGGGAATATTTTCAAATGCTGCTTAAAGAATCATATTTCCATGAATATTATCAAAACATTTCCTTAGTCATTGACTTTTTAAAAATATTTTGTCTGCATTCAATAATTGATACTTAGATAGTGGAACATATTTCATTTATATAATTGCTAACAAATAACCACAGACTGGACTGTTTGTTATATGCTTTATTTTGAAATTAGTTCAGACTCAGGATTCCAATTAGTCCAGGTTGTTTAAAAGCATAAACTAACTAAGATAATTTGGAAATAAAATATGAGGCATATCTTTTATAATTATTTTAGTACTTACCCTTTTAAAAAATAAATCACCATTGGGTGACTCAGTTATGGGAAACCCACGGGGATTACAATTAAGATGAAAAAAAAAAGTACAAAATGATGTAAAAATAAACTATTATATTATAAAAAAAAATCACCACTACCAATGACTAGTAATGAGTTATGTTGCAAAACATTGATTATTTTATACTAGTGTAAAACAGACTCAAAATTATCATGAGTTGTATGAAAATGTTCTACCTTAAGGACTTATTCCATTAACTTTGCATATTTATTGCATGTGAATTCTTTAGAACTTTTTTTAAAGACTTATTTATGCACAAGAACTGGTAGGTTTATGCATCAGAACAGGTCTACTGAAATACATTGCTGAGGAGAGCAGCGGGTGGGCCAGGAAAGTCTGCTTTGCCATGTTTGTTACCTCACTGACCAGGGATTGAACTCGTACTAAAATGGCAGGGGATAACCTCACAGTGCTGGGCCTTAACCAGGGAAGACCCTGAATTCTTTTGAATTTAAAGGTAATAGGCAGGGATGTGCATGAACAAACTTAAAAAAGTAATTTAAATAGGTGGTGTCAATATGGGTGAGCCTTTGATTTAAAATTTATTATTATATTTCACCAAGTTGCACAGTTCCATATTTCTGTTTTTTTTATCATTATTTTTTTTTTAATCTCTTCTCTTTTTCCCCTTTTATTACAAAGGGAAAAATAATTACAGTTCACAGACTATTTCAACAATTGCATTGTTCCACATTAAAAAAAAAAAGTTAAATGTGGCAAAATTTCTAAAGGTAGAGAAATAAATGTCCTTTGACCTACTACAATGATTATAACAATCTCATTTTCCCCTTGGCCAAGGCTACATTTGTTCTGCTTTCAGAGGTAACAATGAGCATGACACAGGTAGAGCAGATTCTCACCCTGGTACTGGCAGTCTAGACTGCACCTCAAGGTAAAAGTAGTAGTTGCAGCAAAGGGTGTCTCTTATTGCCTCAGAAGGTCACAGTTTTGCCTGTTTTAAATGATAGGTGGTCCAGGAAGTGGAAAGGGTACTCAAAGTTTGAAAATTGCAGAACGCTATGGATTCCAATATATCTCGGTGGGAGAATTACTGAGAAAGAAGATTCACAATACCAGCAGCAATAGGAAGTGGAGTCTTATTGCCAAAATAATTACTACTGGAGAACTGGCCCCACAGGTATGGCTGTGTGCTTTGCTTCTATTCTCAGGATTTTAATATCAGTTGTTTGTAGACTAAGTTTCACCGTGGTTTTTATTCTTTCTTTATCAAAGGAAACTACAATTACTGAGATAAAACAGAAGTTGATGCAGATACCTGATGAAGAGGGCATTGTTATTGATGGATTTCCAAGAGATGTTGCTCAGGCTCTATCTTTTGAGGACCAAGTAAGATTGTCTCCTTATATTTTAAATGACATACATTTGTTGAAAAAATTAGAATTAAAATGATTTCTTGAAAGAAATCTTATGCTGTTATCTTAAATGAATTTTGGTCCTAAACCCGGCAAGTCCATTAGCATGGGTTGGCAGGAAGTCATTTTTTTGGCACACGTGCTTAAAAATTGAAGACAACATCTGCCAAAAAGAAAAGATGCAAACTAATAATAGAATTCATAATTTTTTATTAAAAATCTAAGTCTCTTTAAACTTCATGTCAAAATGTTTTCCTAGTGTTTTATTTTTAGTCTTTTTTAAAAAGATATTTATATTTTATTTATGCATACAAGAACTGGGGTGTAGGCCAAAGGTACAGGGGTAAAATTCACCAGAGATTGGGTGGGGAGCAAAACAAACAGATCTAGTGAAATGCACTGCTGGGGGAGCAGCAGATATGACAGGAGAGGTGCGCTTTGCCATATGGGTCACCTCCCTGGCTGGGGGTCAAACATATGTTACAGTGACTAGCAATACTTAATAGCAATGAGAGTTTAACACCTGCACCACCAGAGAAGCCCTATTTTTCATCTTTAATTGCTAAAATCAGTTTTACTCATTACCTCCTGGGTATGTAAAACATCACCCTGTAGTTACAAATTATGAAGATAACATGTGGTCCTACAACGCTTAAGTCTTGCTGTAAAAGTGAAATTCCATTAGCACCCTCTTTCATTCCACTGCCTTCTTCTGTTACATTTGTTCCATAACCTTCCAGCCCTTTCTTTGAGCATCGCAGGCTTAACCACATACTCATACCAATTTATATATGCAAGCTCCTATACAAATACATTTTCAGTTTTCACAGCAGTTTCTAAACTGTCCTTCATAAAAACTTTTAAGTTATAGTCCTATCAATATTGAATCAGAATCTTTCCAATCAGATACACAAAATATATATTAAAATTTTTTGCTAAACAATATTTCATTTTTTCAAATTTACTTTTCTTGAGCCCTATAAAGTTAAGTATATTTTCAAATACTTATTGGCCACTTGTTTTCCTTCCATATGTGAATTACCTGCTTTCCTTTGGCCATCTTTCCACAGATTTATCTTTTTCTTATCAACTTAAAGAAACCTTTTAACGTATTGTAGATATTAAGTCAAAAAGAATTATGTCAAGGTGTGGGTTTATGTCTCATATAAAGAAGCCTGGAGTAGGTATCATAAGATCAGAAGATAGAAAGCCTGACTTTGAGTCGATAAAGTGTCTCTTGAATATTCAAGTGAACCTCTGGTGCTTACAGTTTAAGGACTTGACTTGAATTGCTATAGCTTGAAGAAAGAAAAATAAAACTATTGTTGCTGCTCTTGATGCTACATGGGACTGCTGTTGCAGAGGGGGCCATGCAGTATCCCCAGCAACCTTGGCTGCTGGTAGAGGCATGGTGGCCAAGCAGCAGGTCTTCCCTCAGACCTGTTTTACCCTACATAGGAAATGAGATGCACTTGGTGGGCATAAACAGAAAAAGCTACTTTCTTCTCTCAAATACCTCCCAGACTGCTGTGAGGCTGCTCCTGCCCTGGATAATAATTCAGGAATATCCCATAGCTTTTCTGTATATGTAATGCTTCTTTCAAAGTTGCATTTCCAGGTATAGAATACACAGTCTACAAGTAAAGCTCAATAAAGCTGAAAAAAATTTAAATAAAATGCCCCATTCAAAGCATTAATTTGTCATTCACTCTAGCAGATTTCTGCTTTCCTCAACTTGGACTGTGTTTTAGGCCCAGAAATCTCATGTGATAGCTCAGAATCTTGAAATTTTGAAATTTTCCTTCATGTGGTTGCAACAGGATAGGTGGTGGTGGAAGGGTCAGAAATGCATAACTTAGCAGCAATCTGGGTACTTGATCAATCTCCACTTTCTTTTTTATAGCCAGGAAACAGGTGACGGACTAAGGGTCACAATGCTGGTTTGGAGGGGATGGGCCTACCTCTTGGCAAGTTTCTTTAGGATGATCTGGTATCTCTGTACAGTATGCAATCACTGGCATTTACTGCTCTCAGTCACACATCGGAGTCTGGAAAAGTCCAGACTAACACCTGTACCAATTTAGCATCTTCTTAGGTTGGCATTATAGCAGCCTGGAGATTTTTGGCCATGTGGGCTGTTCAGTGGTGCCTGAGCTTGATGTTGCCACTGCTGAGCTGCAAGAACACAGAGGTTCCCGCAGCAAAGCTGAAGTGTTTATTCACTCAACTAGTACGCTCCCACCATTAGTAAGGAGCTCATTATGAATAAAAGTATTCCTATCACTCAGGGAATTTCTGGGGTTCTAGAAGCTCTAAAATAGGGACAAAAATTCAATACATATTTTATTATTTCACAAGTCCTTAAGGTTTTCTTTAACCAGCTTCTTATGTCAGCCAAATACTAATGATGGTAAGACCACTGTAACAAAAAGAGCCAACACTTACGTGGCTTATAGGACAATGAGGTCCAGATGACTGGACAGCTTCTCTCCTTGACATCATTTAGGGAACTGTGATTCCTTCCAAGTTGTTATGCCATCTCCTAGGACATTGTCTTCAGCTGAATCATTGAAGCAGGGTTGCCATCATGCCTAATTCCAAACTGGCATAGCATGGGAAGAGAACATAAAGGTCTGAAGCCCCAGAGCTGGCAGTGGTCTCACTCACATCTCCTCACATGTGTTGCTGGGAAATCAGTCTCCCTGTTATTACAAGGAAGCCCAGAAACAGTCCAGCTGGGCAGCCAGGGGTCTGACTATGATTCTATCACTTTGAAAGGATGGGAGGACTAGCTAGCCTCTTCCACAATAGCTTGCCTCACTGGCCATCCAGATGTCTGCATTCTCCCATCTCCCCCTGTTGTAGGGCAGGGTGAGGGGCAGCCCAGGAACCCCCAAATCTGCCTGCTCTAACTAGGTTCTGCCATCTGCCACCTCAAGACAAAACATACTTCAGTGCATAAGACCTTCAATGGAAAAGAATTTTAACATAAATAGTGGGTGATGAAGAAAAAAAGAAGAGAAAGAATATAGTTTTCAAATCAAACACCCAAAGTTCCCCATTCCCTCATGGGTAAATGACCAAGCAAACAAGGTTGTCCCAAAGCAGGACCACTGAGGCCCAAGAGCTTGCCATAGTGTACTGCAACTTCTAGAAGGGACCCATTGGAGAGGAGCAGAAGTGGCCAGACAAGTCTGGAAAGAAAAAAGCAAAACTCAAAACCAAGATAAACATTGCTGTTGTTAATCTCCCCATGGGTCTCTCACCTGCATCTGTTTCAAGTGTTTCCTTCCATGTTCCACAGGTCCCTGGTATAAGCCCTAGGCCAAGAAGCAATAGTAAATTTTTCACATGTCTCTCTGCTCCACATGCCTCCTTCAGGTCTCCTTCTTACTTAATCTCCTCCTTTTTCCCTCCTTTCCTAGTCTCCCTCTCAGATTTCTCCTCCCAGCACTGATCCATCCTTCCTTGGGGTGGGAAGGGAACTTAAAACCTCCCCTTTCCCTGGATGCCACCCTGTCACACCCCTACATAGTATGCACACTGTAAGTCAAAACAGGAGCAGGTCCGTTATCAGTTTCAAAAGTTGAGAATCTGTATTTGGTGTATTGTTCTTTTCATTAGCTCCAGATTTGACTCCTCATCTCAGTCACCTATAAATGCTTCTACTCCCTGTGCCATAAACAGTGGAGAAGCAAGACCAGAGTTAAGATCTCTATTCAGAAAAGGCAAGTTTGGCATTCTTTTTTTTTTTTTTAAAGATTTATTTATTTATGCATACAGAACTAGGGTACAGGCCAGAGGTGCAGGTGTGTGAGAGGATTCACCAGAGACAGAGTGGAGAGCACAACAGGCCAACTGAGGAAGTACACTGCTGAGGGGAGCAGTGGGCAGGTGAGGAGAGGTCTGCGGCACCGTGTGGGTCAGCTCTGGGGTTGGGATTGAACTCAGGCTGAAGTGGCTTTAGTTTCTTAGTGCTGTGCTTTAACCCGCTGCACCACCAGGGAGGGCCCAGTTTGGTATTCTTTATGGTAGTCACTAGACAACAGAAAATAGAAAATCTGTGAGTCCAGACTTATTGAGGAATCTTCTCTGGCAGAGGCTTGCCTTTTGGGGACTCCTGGTCCTGCTATCTTGGAGTGATTATTATTATTATTATTTTTGGTCTCTTTTCTCAATCCCCTGCTCTCTCAGAAGTTATTGCCATTCATCATCCTGCCTAACTACATTAGAGTGGTGTATTGGAGACTATGCCGTCCTTGGGAGTTATTTTAAGTTTGGGAAAAAACCTAATTTTTGACCGGCTAAGTTTATGGTAGCTTTGGTAAAACCATTTCTTAACACTTTGGTAGGCTGCTGCTGTTTTTGCTTCCAGTTAGTTTCATGTGCCGATCAGTACACCCACAGTTTTTTTTTTGTTGTTGTTGTAGTTATTAAGCTGTGTTATTTCTTTGTGTTCTCATTTTTTTTTTTTTTTTTGGCAGCTATAAACAGTGTATGTTGTCTTGGGTAGAAAGACAACACCCTTAGTTTGAGTTTTGCCTCTGGGCTGGGGAAGAGAGTCAGTTAATGGAGTCCCTTGAGCAACAGTTAATAGCATTGTCTCCTGCTATTTGGAGGTATAAAAGCAGTTGCCGTTTTCAGCTTTGTGAAGTGTTTTGTGTTTGCTTTTTTAAAGATTTTTATTTATTTTGCATAAAAGAATTGGGGTGTAAGCCAGAACTATGGGGCTGAAAGTATTCACTCAAGACAGAATAGGAAGCAAAATGGGTAGATTTACTCAAATACACTGCTAAAGGGAGCAGCAGGCAAGACAGGAGGGTTTTGCTGCGCCAGGTGGGTGAGCTTCCTGTCCACCAGGAGGCCCATTTGTGGGGTCTTAAATTGTTGATACTTTCTTTTTTCTCTGTCTGCATGGGATTTGGCAAGTTCTCTCTTAGCTTTATCTAGTTGTTGTAAAATAAGTCCACCGAA